TCATTTACTCATCTGTAAAGAAAAAGTTAAAAAGGAATGAGCAAACCACAGCTCAGCAAATATAGGCTCACACACCTTATCAAATCAAGCATATTTTTCATACATATCATATAGATCATTCAAAACATTCGTCAAATCAAAATGTTAAAATATTTCAAAGATCATCGTTCTGTCAAATATTTCACAAATTCATAAATCAATGTCAAAATATGTCAATTTATAAATCATTACAAAATATGCTATCATTCAAATATCATAATCAAACCAAATCATAGATCAATCATTAAAAATCATTGTAAATCATCATCATCATAAATCATCATTATCATTCATTTATCATTAACTACGGTCACTGCTATAACCCGTGATATTGATCGTATCGATAATTTCATCCTCATGATTATTACTAACTATTATAACCAACTAGCTAGGGTCTTACGCTAACTACTATAAGCTAGAGCCATAGAACTAGTTCTGATGTCGATGATCCCATTTCTCAGGGATGTAAAAATGTGGCTATCATAAAATCGTTCCTTAAACATAAATCATTTTCTCATTTCATTTATAAGCATGATCCATCATTTACATAGCAAAAACCAAAATAATCATATGCTTGATCCTATTTTCATATATCGAAAATAATGAAACAAAATTTTACTCATTTAGAAACATAGATATATACATGGGTTCGAAAACAAACAAAATGTGTGAGATTCTACTTATCTTTTTTATTATTCCACCACTTATTTTTCCTCCCAAAATAATTAATGACTTATTCAAGGTAATTCTAACATAATAGAAGTTAATCAACCCATTTCAAGACCAATGATACTAAAAATAATTAAGTTAAACAAAAGTTAATTCAACTAATTAATACAGGCAGCCTGACCTCATTTCATTAAAATAACCATATCTCAAAATATCCAAATCCGAATTAAGATTTCTTTAATGCATTAGAAACTAGACTTGATAAGCTGTATGGACTACCTTGTAATTCCTTATAGATTAATTATAATAATTTTTTCAATTCACATCGTATGCTACAGTCAGATAGCATATATATCTTCTAATAAAAATCACACATTTATTCATAGGCAACTCCAAATTCAATTCTGCTGGTTTGTTGGAAAGTAGACTCAATAACTTTTCAAACATATATGGCTTAATCTGTAATTTTTTGTATAAAAATTAAGATAATTTTGTAATTTAACCATGATGCTACTACTTTACAACCTACATATCTTTAAGTAAAAATTAGACAATTTTTCATAACAAAACTCGGATTTGACTTCCATTTGTTTCATTATAAAGTAGATTCAACATTTTTTTCAACAATATATAATGATTGTAGCAATAATCTATCCGTTAATACAAAATTCTATTTTGATTTACTATTACAGATCATAACATTTCATCTAAAAATAAAATTTTTTCTTTAATCTTTAAAAATTTAAATCTCCACTTTCATCCTTTAAACTCCATTCAATAATCATCAATAAATATTAAAAACATGAAATAAACAAAGCCTACTAATTTACCCAAAATTTCATAATTTTTTTGATTTTTCTCTCAAAACTTTAACTCCATATAATAGTAATCAACATGATTTTTTTTTAAGTAAAAAGAGGGCATATACTCACATTTAGGGGATTAACTTGATTATAGCTTCTGATTTTGAATCTGCAACTTAATTTTTCATGCTTTCTAATCCTAAGAAAGATGAGAAAGAAGAACTTTTATTTTCTTTCTGTTTCACGATAACTCTTATTCAATAATCATCAATAAATATTAAAAACATGAAATAAACAAAGCCCAGTAATTTACACAAAATTTCATAATTTTTTTTATTTTTCTCTCAAAACTTTAACTCCATATAATAGTAATCAACATGATATTTTTTTTAAGTAAAAAGAGGGCATATACTCACATTTATGGGATTAACTTGATTATAGCCTCTGATTTTGAATCTATAACTTGATTTTTCATGCTTTCTAATCCTAAGGAAGATGAGAAAGAAGAACTCTTATTTTCTTTCTATTTCACGATAACTAGGTTTTTCTCTGATAAAATACTCAGTCACTTTTTCTTTAATAATTAACCTCCTAATTAACTTAATGGGCTTTAGTAATAGTTTAGCCCAATTATCATTTGGGTTAAAGGGTATTACAGATTCTTTATGCTTGCTACTTCAAGTCTACACTGAAAGAAGACGACAATGATGACGACGATGTTGTTAAACCTTTTGAACTGCAACTTTTCGATAGCAATGGATCAGTTAGACCAACATGCCTAAAGCAATAAAAGTCATATTCTAAGTAATTTTACTTTGAAGAATCATATGAATGTGTAATCAGGATGGATCTACAATGAGGGTAGTTAGGGCATAGCTGCCTTCACTGAGATCCTATATCCTTTAGATTTTGTTATAAAATTTGCTGAAAAATTTTAATTCTTCTATAGTTTGCCCCCATTGAAGAAGAAAAGAAATAAAATATATATAACATCATCATTAATAATAGAAAGAATAAGAATATAATTGTAATAAAAATAAATTATTTTAAAAAATAATAAAATCTTATTTGTAAAAATAAATAAAAGTAATTTTTATATTCTAAAAAACTTTGTTTGTTCTTAACATATCATAATTTGTATATCTGAATTAAAGTTCCTATAGACTTTAGTCTTTCTATCCAACATTAATTTAATTTCCCTCATCAAGTCATTCATTTCTTTTTTGTTTTAAAAGGGGGTAGAGCCCTACAACAAGGGAAGATAGGGGAGGCTGGGGTCGAACCCCAGCCTTAGTGTCTTCTTAAGGCTTTCTTGGCCACTAGGCCAAGAAGCTGAATATCTTGTTAAGTCATTCATGCCTCACTTGAATGCAAACAATATTTTATTTTATTTTTATTAAAATAATAATAATAATAATAATAATAACAATAATAATTAATAACTACTAATAATTAATAAACAAAATAAAAGAATGGTAGTTCATCAAAATTTTGAGTAAAATTTCATTATCTTTCATAAAAGTATTTTTTTCATCCATATTTTAAAATTTTACAATTATGATTCGCGAGTCATAATTTTTTTAAAAAATTCACCATCCATTTATTTGTTATCAATAATCAAACAACCAAAGACGAAATCAAGTATAAAAAAAAAGCCAAATAATAAATTCAACAGAGAAAATAAAGTCAAATAATAAATTTCATAGGAAAGAGTACTATACAAATAAAGATATTAAAAAAAATTTTTAAGAGGGGGCCATGGCCTATGCTTGCCCTTTAGCTATGCGCCTTCAAACAACTAACAAAAATGTTCATGCAAGCATCATCTATTAATTCTTATGGCTTGATGCAATCTATATTTTTAATTCAAGTAAGAAAATCATGTCTAAGAAGTCAATCTCACACGAGCCACTCATTTTAAATGTATAAGATGAAAATTTTCTTGCCCATACTTACCCTACATGTCAATGGACCAAGCATTTGCATCAAATCCCATATATTAACAATTGATGCATATATGAATATTTTCATTAATTATTTGACTGTTGATTGACAAAAAGATGGATAATGAAATTTTTTAAAAATCATGTATAATAAACATGGGCAAAATCAAATATAAAACAAAAAAAAAGGGTCAAACGATGAAGTTGATAAAAAAAAAGAAGGCTTGAGACTATAGCTGTTAATTTTGTTTCAATATCGATCATATCGATTGGTACACTTTAATTACACCAAAATATGGTACATCTAAAGATAATTTTTTATATTGGATTTGGTATTAGATAATATCGGTTATTTTTATTAGTTTTGACATGTTTTTATGAATTTTGGTGAAATAACATGTTTCGGTCTATACGTGAATGTGAAATATGTTTTATAATTTTTAACTTGTATTTTTTATTTAATTATTTTTAACCTAATAAAAATAAAATTAATTGATAAAATAACTCTTAAAAGTTGAGCTTCTTTATTTTTTATTTTAATTTTTTTATACTTTATTTTTTCAAACCAAAGTTTATGAGTATTTCAATTTTTTTTCAAGAAAATAATTATACATCTTTTATAAAGTTTAACAATCATAAAGCCTTAGTTAATTTTTTTCATCTATTTATTTTTATCTTAATATTTATATGAAAAATATTTATTTAAATATCATATAATCAGATTAAATATTTAAAAATATCATAAAAATTTTATGATATTATTTCTTATACTTTTAAACTCATTTATTTAATTTTTAAATGTATTGTATATTTATTTTAATAATATTATAATGTATAAATTCAAATATATTTATAAATATATTTACATTAATCTAAAAAATTTGAAATAATATATCGAAACAACTAATACTAATATATACCATATTTTTTATAAAAAAATTAAATATTATCTGATATAATATTAATAACCTTATAAAATTTGAATTAATCTAAAATATTATTTTTGGGAAGTTGAATTAATCTAACAATGGGACAAGAATTCTAAACCCGGTGCTTTTAATCCAAAACATTAAGTAATGCTGACATGGCAAAGTGGTATTGGTCAAATGAAATTCGGAAAGCCAAAATCTTCTCTCAATGTAATTCGCAATGTATCGTATTCCGACAATGGCAGTCTTCGTAATTTCAATGAAAATTGATACCAATTGAATATCCTCCGCAACAATCAACTCGACAGTTGAAACGCCACGTCTCAACTTGTCCCCCATTTACCCAAAGCCACGACGCCATGCAATATGCATGCACAAAGAAAAATAAAATAAAACAAAATTAAAAAAAATAGAGATTAATTAGAATTTAATTAGGATTAATGGATAATTTTCGTTTTCAGAAAAGGAATTTTAGTTTAAAAAGGTAACATATCTTTTCAATACTTATTTTTGTTCCATATAGAAATCCTTCTTCAATTCTATCTCTCCCTCTCTTTATATAAATGTACGCATATAGTTTCACAGTTTCCTTAAAAAATTTTCTCTCTTTGCTGCTAAAAGCTTTGAAAGATGGGACTTGCGCGTAACATCGTCGGCATTATCGGTATCTCTCTCTGATCTGTTTCCGCTTTCTGTTTTTATTGGAATTTTTTGGAGTTTTTTTTTTTCTCTTTTTTGTTGATTTATATATCAGCGAGGAGTTACTCGAGTTTTGCAGAAGTTTCGATGCATTGATCGGTGAAGATCGTTGTTTCGATAATCGTTTTCTCTTTTTTTCTTTTTTTTTGAATAAACGAAGATTTGATAGTTTTCAATTTTTATTTAAGTTTTTATTTTTTTATTCATATATAACGTTAAGTTTTTTCGTTAATGAATCTGTGAAGAATAGAGTATAAGACTGAAGATATATTCTACTTTTACTTGTTTTTCAGTTTTTATTTATTTCTTATAATTGTTTTTCTTTTTTTTTTTGAGGATTTTTCGTCTTATTATTAATTTATATATATATTTTTTAAACAGGGAATGTCATCTCCTTCGGCCTCTTCCTCTCGCCAGTGTAATCTCACTCTCTCTGATTTTCTAATTATTTTTTATTTAATCTTACATTGCATAAATTAAACATTAAATACCAACATTTTTATAATCTCTTCATAGAATGACGATGTTTTTAGCATGTTAATTATAATTCGATATTGGTTAATTAGTTAATTAATTAATAAAATTATTTATCTTTTTATCCAACGAAAACAGTATTTTTTTTAAACGAATTCAAGTAAATTTTTTTTTCATAAATTGGTAAATATATAATTATTATTTGATGTTGTTGTTGAATACAGGCCAACATTTTACCGAATCCATAAGAAGAAGGCGGTGGAGGAGTTCCAGCCCTATCCTTACTTGTTCACGGTTCTGAACTGCCTTTTCTGGATGTTCTATGGTCTCCCTTTTGTTAAGAAAGATAACATTCTGGTCTTAACCATCAACAGCATTGGCCTTGGCATTGAGTTAATCTACTTAACCATATACTTCATTTATGCCAATGATCAGAGCAAAAGGGTATGAACTATATGAACCATTCTCTTAGTAATTAGCTCCTTCAATTTGCCACATCCCCGTATGAATGATAAATATAATTATATAACTCAACTAAATTAAATTTTAAATTACTGTTAGCCTAACAGTTTCAATATGCTAATGAATAACATAAAAAACATAATGGTTAGATATATGAATTTTATATGATTATTAGTACAATTTTTCTTTTTGTTTGTCATCATGGCCTAGACATTTATAAATTGAATGTAGGCATCAACATTGGTAAAATTTTAGGATGAGAATATATATGTTAGATTGTACATAGCCGTCAATATTTGGTAAAAATTTGGATGAGGATCTTTAGATTTTGGGTTTTTGCTGCCATTGCCATGTAGTTAATTAATTAGCCTATATATATATATGTATATATATATATATATATAGCCAATCAGATTATTTTGAGTCTTGATCACTCTTGATTTGCTCATCAAAAAGACAATGAAAGTCAAAGCACCATGTTTAACTGAATCTAGCTAGTTGATCTAATACTATTAATTAATTCTTTCTACAATTTTCAGCGTCGTATAGGCATTTTCCTACTTATTGAAGTACTTTTCACAGCAGTCATAGTTGTCATTGCAATGTTGGCCTTCAAGTTTAGGCACAGACATCTTTTTGTTGGAGTCGTATGTGATGTGTTTAACATCATAATGTACGCCTCACCTCTTGCCATCTGGGTAAAATCTCTCTCTCTCTCTCTCTCCATTTTTCCTTTCCCCCTCGTAAAATATTACTATTGGTTTTGATCTTATTGGGTTGAACAGAAAAAAGTCATCACGACAAAGAGTGTCGAGTACATGCCATTCTGGCTCTCAGTTGCCGGGTTAGCTAATGGGATCTGTTGGACAATATATGCCCTCATCAAGCTTGACGTCTTCATCCTGGTAAAATAAAACTTAGCATAAATCACAAATTATCTGATTCTAATGATCAAATTAGGTTAAAAACTTGTTGACCCATTTATCTGGTTATGCATATTTACAGGTTAGCAATGGGCTTGGAGCCATTTTTGGGTTTATACAGTTGGGTTTATATGGTTACTACTACTTCCTTGGAAAGAGCAAAGATGATGGAAAGCCATCAGAGGTTCAGCTTTCTAGTCAGACTGCAGTCTGAAGTTTGCATTGAGAAGAACAGAGATATCATTGCCAGCTCCAAAGGGGACAAAACTTAAAATCTCAAATTTTGCCTTGTGTTTAGACAGAAATTTTTCTTGGTTTAGTTTTATGTTTCTAGCATCAATCTTTTCTCTAACTTAGATTAAATAGCTATATCCATAGTATTAATCATCTTTGTCAACAATGTTATAGGTAGGAGAAAGATAAACTGAGTTTTTGTGTTAGGAGCAGTGTTTGAAGATCACCCATTTTTTAAAAACTCTCTCTAATACGTTTGAATTTGAAGAAAGAGTTTAACGTAATTTGAAAATACAAACCCATTAAAAGGGCCTTGCCTCTCGCTTTCACACTTTTATTGATATAACTATAGTGTCTCGTTTATGAATTAATTGATTTATATACAAATTAATAGAATTTTTTTTATCTAAAAAAAGTTTATAAGTAAGAGAAATTATCATATCTCTAAAATTAAGATAAATCATCAACCCAATTAGAATTTACGGATCCATTGAATTTTCACCCTAGAATTTTTCATACTTACAAATCTCTTATAAAAAATAAAAAATCAAAAGAGAATTTGAATCTAAATACTAATACAATCAGCACTCATCTCTTATCATTTTTGTCAACCCTCGTTGACACAAATTAATAAATTTCACTTTTTGAATGTATCCAATATCTATATAATATGTAAAAAAAAAAAAAAGATAAATATTTGAAACAAAGTTGACTTAAACAAGGAGTATGATTCTAAACTAAATTAATATATATAAATAGATCGATAAATTAGAGATATTTTTAATATCTAAATTTATTTTATTTTTTTATTAAAAAAAGAATTGGAGCTTAACTTTTTGAAAATTATTATATAAATTGATCTAAATATGTTGATATAAGCAATTATAATTCTTTCTTTTCCGTTGTGTTTTGTTAATATTTGGATATGTCAATATACTTGGGACTTCAATTTTACCTTTTTTTTTTTTATTGGTTGGTTAATGTTTGTGATTCGATAAGCGATAAGATCCTAATAACGGGGAAAGGATTGGGTTTTGGAATATTACACAACACAGATATTGCAAAACCCTTAATTGCAGCCTACATTTTGGGAAAGACAGTCGGTTTTTGAGCTTTCGTACAAGTTCTTGTCAAATATATCTTGACATTTTTCCTTTCTCTTGATTTGCCAATAGCCAATAAATTTTTCTTTCTTGTTTTTTTTTTTTTTCTTTTTTCTTTTTTCAATTTCTGACATTTCTAACTCTCACATCTTGCTTGAAACTTTGAGCTCATTTATACATTTCAACGTCGATAATTTTATGTATTCAAGCATTTAATTCAGTGGTTAATGTAAATTTTTTATTTTAAACAAAATTTGTATATTTCTCTTCAAATCTAAAAAAAAATACCTAAAATATTAAAAGAATTCCAAAACTTTATTATTTTATTTAGATAAATTCTTATTTTTTTCTTATACCTAAATAAATTTTTTATTCTTTGATTTATATTAAGTATACACTTATTTCAAACAAAAAATTATTTTATGTTAAAAATTTATTTAGGTACAAATTAAAGATAAAAATTTATTTTGATATAAATTAAAGTTTAAAAAATGGTTTATTTGAATATAATAAAATATAAAAATTTATCTAAATAAAACGATGGAGTTTAATTTTTTTATTATTATTTTAGTAAAAAAAGCAATAACAGTACTGCTACGAAGTTTTAAAGATTTAGGAATTTTGAGAAGATTATCCTTTTCTTCCTATATTATTCTATACTTGGTTCCAATTTTAGATTGTGATGGTGATCAATCCAATTGAATTTTGACCAACTTCCTCCCCCTTCTCTTTCTGGTAGCTTGCTAATTAAGAGCATGAAAAAGGTAATTAGTCCCCCCAACCCCTCCCTTTTGTCAATTTCTATGGCTTTCCCTATGTAATTATCGTCATAGCAATATTAATTCATAAGATAATTACTCTTAGAGTGAGAAAATTCCAATGTTATAATTTGTTAGTTTTGGTTTGGAATCTCTAATCCGTTTATTTAAAATGAGTGTTAAATGAGATTCATGATATAGGGAACCTTGATTCCATCCTACTATATGCAAACCAGTGTTATTCTTTTCCTTTGACACAAACAATCATTCACTGTGGTGGGTCACAAGCCTACCAATGATGGAGCCAATCCTCAATGGAATGGGCAAAGAACTCGGTTCAGAAATAACAAAGATCAATTGCTCAAGCCCCATGCTTGAAATATACCAGTAGCCAGTAGTCTAGTACTAGCTGTGCTAGCAATATTATTGCAGCACAAAGCTGTTAGCTTAACATTTATTTATTTCCTGTCTGGACCTAACAACCTTATATTTTCTCCATCTGAAAAAAGACACCAAAAGTTTCGTTGCCCGTTTCTTTGATATTAGTATATGTCAGTTCTTCTCATCTCTTAATGTGGCAGCTATTGCCTCTTGTAACTGTTCCTGTTCTTTAGCTGCCTCTAAATGGATTAATCCAAGACTACCCACCAAAGGTTGAAGCTTTCTATGGACTCAGAAGAGTAATTCTTGTTGGAATAGGGAGTTCCTGCTCAATTGTAGTTCCCAGAAGCATGTTCAGTGTCAGCTTTAAAATGGGCAGGTTGTGTTTTTCATTATCATTTTTTTTTATTGTTTGTTATAAATGTTTTTTTATTGCTTTGGGTTTTGATGGTACATTTTGGTGGTTTAGCATTTGATGGATATGATTCATTGGGAAAAGCTAGCATTTTTGTTCTATATGAATTCGAATCAAACAATATGAGCGGTGAATGTTATTGCTTTGAATTATAAGAAAGGTATACAAGGGATTGGTCTCCTAATGCTTATGCGGCTAGTCCTGCATTACCGGATTTGTCTGTCTTAATCTCTGGGCCTCCAATAAAGGACCCTGGAGCATTGTTGAGATATGCACTGCCAATTAACAATAAAGCTATTAGAGAAGTGCAAAGACCACTTTAAAATATATCAGAGAGTCTCGTGATTTCTGGTGTCAAAGCACTTGATTCTGTTGAAAGGGTAAGACTCCCTGGTTTTATATGAACTAGCAGTTTGATATTTATATATGCTTCTGATGATAGGCTTAGCAATTGCATTCATGATAACCAAGGCCTTAACTTTGTATAAAATTTAGAATGTGAGGCAAGCAACTCAAGCCCTCAAGTAAGGGAAAACTCTAATTATGCCGGGATTAGCTGAAGCAAAGAAGGACCATGGAGTGGAATTGCTCAACAAGCTGGAATTTGGGATGAAGGAACTACAACAGATTGTGGAGGATAGGAATAGAGATGCAGTGGCATCTAAACAGAAGGAGCTACTTCAATATGTTGGAGAGTGAGTATCTCAATCTTTAAAACGTATTGCTGAATTTAGCTTTTCGCTGCTTAGTTTATAAACCCTCCAACAAAGACTGGGTATTAGAAAATATATAATGTTTTAATTTCCAGCAGCTTTTCAAAATCAACCCGAAATAATCCTTGTATATGGTAGGTTTTCTAAGTTGTGGCTATGTGAAGTTAGTCTTGATTCCAATTTGTCTATCTATATTGCTAAGTGCAGTTCCTCAAGGTTGCCTAAAATGTTCTTAATTTGTTGGAAAACATGCACCAAATTTAATCAAAGTATTGTTTGACCAGCAATAAAAACATGCACCAAAATACGTAGTTTACCTCAAATGCTGTGTTTGACCTGTCATCTAGTGGTGAAGTTTGTATCAAGTTTGTAATCTAGTGGCAAATCTAATCCCTCTTCTTGTGTCTGTCTTTGGTATAGGAATTAAGAACTGCACCAAAATGGTTCTAGGTCTGCAACTGCAAGCATGCGTAGTTGCTATGACAAATAAGAATATATCAACCATGCCACAGCTGTCGGCACCAGGCAAGGCTCAAGTCAGCCAAAAATGTAAAACTAACAATATTTACATAGAAGTTTTCCCAGGGTGCAGTGGGCTGCTCATAATGCCTTAAAGACTGTATCATACTTTCATCATAAACGTTGGGAAGGACTTAAAAGTTAAGCCTATTAAAATAAACTATTCTCATAGATACCTTGTCACTGACTGCAGCTGATATCTTCCTGGGGCATTGGATTTCTGCAGTGTTGAAGAGGATATGGTAGGTGTCTTCCCATATGAAGTACCTGAAGAATATCGAAATACGCCTCTTTTGAAGGGATAACAGCTGTGGATATGAAGGTCAAAGTCTAGGACAATCCTAACCTAGAGGAGTGTGTGTTCCATATGGTTCTGGATGGGTATAATGCCCCGGTAACAGCTGGGAATTTTGTTGACCTGGTGCAAAGGCACTTCTATGATGGCCTAGAAATTCAGAGAGGCAACTTTTGATTCTGCTTTGTTATGTTCCTAGTTTCATGGTTTGTGGAAAAATATTCAAAGGTTGCTGGCTGTCTTGCGTTACATCTTCTTGTATTTGCTGCAGCGGATGGGTTGGTCGTTCAAACTGGAGATCCTGAAGGTCCTGCCGAGGGCTTTATGGATCCTACTACTGAGAAACCCGGACAATACCATTAGAAATCATGGTTGATAGGGAGAAAGCATCTGTCTACGTAGCAACGCTGGATATGAGCTTTCTTTTCTCTCACATTAGAGTTTAGTGGTAAACAAAATAAAACTTGTATCAAATCCATGCTTTGATCGAAATCGAAAGAGTTGGCTATTTGTGTTCGGACAGGAGCTTGGTCTATACAAGACTCAAACAAAGCTTCCCTTCAATGCTTTTGGAACCATGGTAATGGCAGAGACGTGAGAATTTATTAACTCTTATCTTCTGTCACTTGTTTTTATTATGTTTCTTTCCTCTGACTTTCCCTTTTTTTTTAATTCCTAACGGGAGTTTGAGAATAATTCTGCATCAAGCCAGGTATTCTGGCTATTGAAAGAAAGTGAACTAAGACCTAGTAACGCCAATATCTTGGATGGTCAGTACGCCATGTTTGGTTATGTGACAGAAAACAGGATTTTTTTGGCTGACCTAAAGATTGGTGATGTTATAGAGTCAATTCAAGTGGTTTCTGGCCTGGATAATCTAGTCAATCCAACTTATAAGATAGCTGGTTAGGACTTTTTTGTAGTTTTAGAATTGCATATTTGTCACTTCCTATAAGCTTAATAGGACAGTTCGCTTCATATGGTTTACTTCATTCTGTAATCTTTCAATTTGACAGACTTGCAGTATTTCAGCTGAAAATGTGTTCTTTAGTTGAATAATATACTGGTTCCCAGAAGAGAGACATTCTCATTTTCATCCGGGTATGACAAAATGTGATAATGATATTGTATGAAATTGAGTTTTTTTGGAGATCAAAAGCTGTTATATGATAAACAATTTCCTTATGAATATGCAATTGGTTCATATAATTATCCGTAAAAATTCATGTTTATCAAATTTGAAATTCAAATTTCAGTAACATAAATGAACTCTTCTTTTGTAAAATATTACTGTCAACTCCATATAGTGAGAAAAGGCTTACTTGTTATACTAGAAAAGTCATCATAATTTTCCCATATTACCATCGGCTTTAAGCAGTCGCAAGATTTATTGGGCAAAGCATTTCTCGTATGAGATAGATGATAACCATTGAGAATCTTATGCCACATCAAAGCTTCTGTAAAAGTGTGTGGGCCAATCTGTTATATAACTGGCCAGTGATCAGATACATGGTATTCTTGAACGGAAAAATCTTTACACGATATGTTCAAATGGCAGATATTGCGGAGCATTTCTTAGTCAGTAAACTCCACAATTTCGTATTTTCAGCTCTTACATTGCCAAAATTAAATATAAATCAATTGGACTCTACCCTGAAAGCATCTTTAATTCAAGGGGGGTAACACTATCAAGGTCCACGATATCTCCAAAAACACAAACAACCCTGAGGCTGATCATGCGGGATCATGCCTCCGCCTTTGGATGTGTCAACGGCCTCTAACATGGACACCACTTCATCCATCTCTGGCCGTTTATCAGGGTTGGCATCCCAACATCGCTTCATTACATTTGCAAGCGAACTTGGACAGCAACGCGGTATCTCTGGCCTCAGATTCTGTAGTTTAAAGTTTATGTTATTATCTATATTTTAGCTTATATAAATTCTTCAAAAAGAATTACCAAGAGCTGTACTTAATGTAAAATTCATATAGAATCATCTTAGTTTATTGTTTTTGCAACGAAGAATATCATCTGAGATAGATCCGTTTACCTGGCGGACGACGGCAGATGTCACTTCTGAGAAGCTGAGATCAGGATATGGCATGTCACAGCAGTATATCTCCCACAAGCAGATACCAAAACTATACACATCACACTTTCTATTGTAAGGATTGCCGTTAAGGACCTGTCTCATTTCAATTCATCAATGTTAGATGATATATTAGATACAAATGACGCTGAAAGAAGTCAACATATAATCTCATTTAACCAAAGCTGAATTATCAATGACTTTCCACAAGAACAGAAACTTTTGAGCACACAGAAGTAGCAAAAATCTACCCCTATTCTTTTTCTTCTTTTCCCCTCTCCAGTCCAAACGCCTAAAGGAAAGTTAAATAGTTTCTTTCTTCCTTGTAAAACTGCTAAAATGCTTGCTGGAACAAGCCGAGAACTGATAGTAGTTGCCACAATTCAACTGAAGACCATACTTCTGCTAATTCTAGGAACAAAAGGTATGAGCCTCAACTAACTGACTTGCAGCCATGTATGATATATATGTCCCTTCGGGACAAAGCCAGACCAATGGTATCAGAATTTTGCTACTAAAAAAAAAATGGCTCTGGTGGACAGGCTCAGGCTTCAAAGGGTCAGAATTTCTAACTGGCATTTCTAATATGATTTTGTAGGAAAACGCCTAGATCATACATGAAAAAAAGAGGTCAGAGATCTGATCTCTTTTCTAGGGCTGCTATAACAATGCCAACAGCAGAGCAAATACATAACTATGCTCGTCAGAAATGGTGTACTCCAAGCATATCACCTCTAAGAATTAACCCATAAAGTAAGCAGCATGCATATTCTTCAAAAGTTTGATTACAGGAACCCCTCAGTCCATGAATTCAAATAAGCATAAGTACTAAATGCTTTATCAATTCTTGGCAGACCATAATCCCAAACAGGCCATTCACAAGCAAGATAGAGAGAGGCCGCAAAACCCAAAAGAAAGCATATAAGCGCTGTATACCTCTGGTGCCATGTAGCCAAGTGTTCCAGTCTCTCCAGTCATATCATTAGGATTTGAAGCCTCAAGGCGCGCAACTCCAAAATCAGCTATTTTCACAGTACGTGTCTTGTCCAGAAGCATGTTTTCTGTTTTGACATCTCTATGGACAATCTTCTTGGAGTGAAGATAGGTCAACCTAAAAAGTATAGAAAGCAACAGTGTCAACACAAATGATCTGGGAACTTAATTTAAATTACAATTTACATGTTGAATATCATTCATATAGATTTAAAAGAATAAAATAGAGTATAGATAAGGCACAGGAATTTGACCCTCGTGCAAGATCTAGTGCCAATTGAACAACTACTTTAAAGGCCAGCTTCCTTCTCCAATTCTTTATCAGGTAAGATTTCAGTGCACCTCCAGGACAATATTCAACCACAACACAACAAACATTACTTGGCATGCCAATATGACCATTTTCCATCTGTATGTTCAGCTCTGATGAGCCCATCGTCGCCCCTATAAACTGCATAAGAAAATTTAGCACACAGATTAAAGACAAGTATAAGCATCCAACGAATATAACATCGAGGCCCTTGTTTACGGCCTTAACCATCCGCGCTTCAGATGCCGTAATGACCACTAGTGCCCAAATTACAATCTATTTATTCCAGTCAACATCAGATATCACATATCCAGTATACCCTCACACTGTTGTCAACATCCTAATTACCAAGTTGACATTCTTAAATGAGTAAAATTAGAGAAATAATAACATCTTACATTGGGATAAGTGTAAATGGAGCGTATTTGACGGAAATACAGTTCCTGAACTTGCTAAACTTGTTGCTTTAACCCTCAAGATAAAATAAAATAACTAAGCTTATGCACTAAGTCTAAACATGCAAGTTTTACATAGATGAAACAAAAGTGAGGAAAGGATGATGATCCAGTCTTGTCCTTCCAGCATATTGTACTAGGCTACTTTAATTTGATTGCAGGGATGTGGAAAAGAGTGACGAAACCCAAAAAAGGTATATGATGCAAAACAAGAAACATTACCTTTGTTACATTAGGATGATCAAGCTTATGCCACATAGCAACTTCTTGCGTAAAATCTGCTCTAAGTGAAGCTATTTCAGCCTCTGATCTGTGGCCCTCTTGTCCCCAGTCAAGAAGTTTAACTAAGCATGATGGAAAAAATGAGAAAAAAAAAAAAGTAAAGAGTTACAAAATATAAAAGCAAAGATCCAACATCGTTTTCTAGTGTCCATACAATTTAACAGAAAAGCAACAGAAAATCATGGAAGAAATACCAAATAAACTTTATCTATGATCAATCAAAGAGCTACCTATAGGTCCCAAATCTAATCATACATTAATGCGGCTGTTAAGTCCATGTTGCTCACTGAAAATACTCGGGTGGTATTTTTCTAGTAGATGAGATGGGGTCCATTTGGCAGCTTTATTGCTAGCCAGAACAAGCAAGTTCACAATGTCAATGGGGCTCTTTTAATTTTATAGCTTTTATCTTCAAAAAGTTGAAATAAAAGATGAGTGCATATCAGCAATAAATTAGGACGCATGAAAGGTAAGAAAAATGAATAACATCATTTAAATAACTGCAGCAGTGAAACTAATTGCCACCTCAAAAAATCTCGTGAATCACGGATCTTCAGAAGATAGATCCGCAAGTTTTGATCACAAACTGCTATGTGAAAATCAACAGATTCACATAATGGGAAATCATTTGCTACATTAGCAAATCATTTTCCATCTTATAGCCTTAAAGTCTGGGGAAGCAGAGAGAAAATATGGTAAAGATAGATGTTTCTTGTTGCTTACTATCAAGATGGGAAAAACTCATTCCAGTATTAGGTGTATGCCTTGGAATTGTTGTTGTTCTTAGAACCAACTAATTAAAATTGAAGATTCAAAATTCTGGTTTCTTTTCCCTTTTAGCTACATTTTCTCAACAGCCAACAAATGGTACAGTTGTAATAAGATTATCAAAACAGAAGCTGAAGAACTTAGAAACATTAAAACATTAGATTCCCTAAGACGTTAAGCCACAAAAAACCCTTAAAAGTTCAACTCCGCCACTGCAAACCTCAGGCAGCCCCTATGATAAAAATGATAGTACTAATAACATGGAGAAACCCCATATCCGGTCATCCACAGTGGAAGAACACTGATCATATCAAGCCATGGACAATTCAACAGCACTGCCCTATTGTGAAATTATCAGTTTCATTTTGTTTAACCTCCCAACCAAAAAGGCCTAAAGCGATAGCTTTACATTGAGTGCATAAGGCATGTATGTATAACACTTTGTCATGCATAGAAAGTTCGTTTCAAAGTAGGTTTTCACAGAAACCAATAGAGAAACAAAAAAAGGAGTGAAATCTATAGTAGTTTCATAATCACCAACCAAGTGAACATCAATTTCAAGAAAAATGTCATTTTGAGCAATTTCTCAGGAACATATCTTTAACAGAAAAAATGAGAGAAAAAAAAAAATCAATACCAGCAACATCTTGAACATCATAAATACCACGGTGAACAGTACCAAAAGTGCCACGAGCTATGACACCTTTAATGATAAGCTTAGAAGGATCAATCTCCCACTCTTGTCTTCTCACAGTGTTGCTTGGCCTTAGCTGTTCTCCACCACCTCCTCCTCCGCCGACGCCTTCCTCTCCTTCCTCTTTTCTGTTCTTGTTCTTCTCCATCGTCCATGCTCTACTAAGATGCCTTTGAAGTTGCTCATCCAAGCTCTTCAGATCTATCTGATCTGCTCTTACATACCGCACTCCACCACCCTCACTTTTCTCCTTCATCTCTCAACCCCAACTAAAAATCACAACTTACTCCTCAAATACCAACAAACAGTAAAAACAAAGGAACAATCTTCACTTCCTATTCTTGTTTGAGCTATTTCTGATTCTTGGTCTCTGTCCAAACTCTATACTAAAAACTAGAACTCAATGATAATCCTATATATATAAATATGAAAAATAAAAAAATTGGGTTTTTTTTTGTTTATTTGTTTCTTTCAAAGCTCACAGACAGCCATGTGGGCACATGGATTTTGCCTGAAGACCGACATGTGTTGTTGTGACCCACTTTTGGTTTTCTTCTATTCCTGCTGGCTGTTGTTATTTTTTTTGTTTACGCATCTGCTGCTTCCCTTCTTTCTTCTGCTTCTGCAACTTCTGTGTCCCCCTCTTGAAGCTTTTTCCTTTCCTTTCCTTTCCTTTCTTTCCTTTGTTTGCAAGTATGTTTTATGGGATTCACGGTCAAACATACCTTTTTATAAATGTTTTCTGGTTGTATTTGTAAGTGAAACTTGAATGTCCCTTTCAAAGAGGGTACTCTGCTGCCCTTCTTCACTTCTCATAATGCTGGAAGGATGGATAACAGTTACACAAGGAAAGTAGTAACAGACAACAGTACTATAACGTACTTGTCCAACCATCATTGGATGTTAAACAAGTTAATTATGAACGCTTTATTATTGTTTAGACCAGGAAATGAAAATCCCATTAAAATAGTACTTCAACAAAGGGTCGGCCAAGATTTTCTTTTATTTTTTTTTTGTATTATTAATAATCAAAGAGCTGCAAGGTACATGAAAAAAAAAAAAAGAAAAGCAATACCAGTAGATCCGGTAATATTATATTTTTATAGTTTTATTTCATACAAAATATAAAAATTATTATATTATAATTTATGTTTATATATTAAATATATAATTATTTTTTAATTAAATGCATTAAAATTTTAATTTATATTATTTTTTATTTTTTATTATATATAAAATTATCAAATCTACCTTTAAATGATCAAATGTTTACCCATTTTATTCTTGAAATGAGAATTTCAATTACATGATTGAATACTACCAAACAATTCAATTAAAAAGACAGAAACCAGTGAAGAAAATGAAACCTATGGCTATAAATAAAGGAGAAAATAGATGGATGACGTGATGGAGCTATTATTGAGGGTTGAAAAAAAAAAATAAAAGACTTTTTATTGTACTCAATTAAAGTGGTCATTTAAGAATAAAGTTGATAGGTATGAAGGAAAATGTTGAAGAGGCTATGGGCCTTGAAGGAGTACTCTCCGTGCATTTCAAGAATAGAACATAGAACCTAGAACCTATTGTTTTTTTTTTGGCTTTGATACCATTGGTTTGGAACAAGTAATCATCATAATTTTGATTAAGAAAATAAAGTGAGGGAAGAATTTATGACTTAATACACTTAAAAAAGAGTTTGTTTTTTCTTTATTTAACCAAAAATTTAGATTAGGGGTGAGACAATCTAATTAAATTGACTGAAATCAAGTAAATATGATTTGATTTATTCAGTTTTTATTATAATTAGTTTTTTAGATTGGTTAAATTAATTAACTAGATTCGTTTTTAATTTTTAAAATTAATAATTAAAGTAATTGAATTAATTATTTTTTAATAAAATAAAAGAATTAAGATCAATATTTTTATTTGTTTTTTTTTTTAAAATATTATTAAAATTATTAAATTTTTTAGTGATTTAATTTGAATAATATTTGAGTTTGAGTTTTATTAAACTAAATTTATAATTAAATAATGATTCATAATAAGATAAAAAAATGATGAAAATTGTAATTATTTAATCGAATTAATCGAATTGAATTTAATTATGTTATAATTGTTTATTTAAAATTTTTCGATTAATTTGATCATTTATTAAATAAAAATTGATTAATTAAATTATTAATTTTTTTCAAATTGAACCAATTGAACTGATAAATTACTTATCTCTAATTTTAATAACTTTTATTAGGGTTAATATTTAATATGATATTTATTCAAAACAAAAATATTACCAATAATAAAAATAAGATGCTATTATGTAGGGACTAGTGCATGTTCTCTTATACTTTAAGGAGGGAAAATAAAGCAATCTTCATAATTAAATAAGATAATTTTTATAATTATCGTATCAAACATATATAAAATATAAAAATTATCGTATCATAATTTATATTGATATATTAAATACGAAATATATATTTTAATTTTTATTAAAAATTTTTGTCATTTTGTTACATTTAAAATCAAATTTATTTATAACTATTAAATAAACTTGAATAATAACAATAGATAAAATTCAAATTCAAATATAGATTTAAATATCACAATCAAACTAGAAAATTATTAGTTATAAAGTTGCACTAGTAATTATTAGTATGGTCCAAAATTCAACTTCTTTTTTTTTTTATGTAAGCAGAATTCAACTTCTTAGGTTTACAAAAGGAGCAAATAGACTACTTAATTTTCAATTGTGTCAAATTGTATCCTACCCGACAAGATCATACATTCAAGACTAACAAAATTCAACTTCTTAGATATAGCTTAAGCCCACTATCGGATCGATCCTCGACAAAGGGTGGCAGATCGAGATAAAACCAAGAAATAAAGGAAAAGTGACCATTATCTTTCTCATGAATTTAACACCATTGATTGCGCAGCTCAAGCATCATCAAGCACGTGAACTTCTGCCTTTATTGACTTAATGGAAAGCAAGCAGGGATCAGCAGAAAGAGGTTGTCTTATAGAGGGGAGGGGTGTCACGGGACTAGACCAGAGCCCTCCCCAATTGTTTCACCAATTTTCCTCAGGGGAAACTGGGAAATAATTAAACAGGCCAGCCAGTATTGCCCGTGATTTTGACTGTCAAGGAGGATCATGGGCCTTATCCTTTACCCAAGAGTCTTACAACCCTTTACTCATTTTATATATATATATATATATATATATATATATATGAAGAGATGAGTTTATATGAATGTAAAATTAAAAAATATATATATAATGAAAAAATTTTACAATGTATAAAGTAATCTCTCCTCTTTCTCTCTCTCTCTCTCTCTCTCTCTATATATATATATATATATATATTTTTAAATAACTTCTTGCATGTTGGTGCAAGTGTTGTTTTTTTAATGTTTTAATTTGATTTGTTGCAATAGGCGAAATCTGGCAGGCAGCTTTATAATACGATCTGAGCTTTATAATACTGTGATTATCTGCCTTAAAATCATACAATCAGCTATTTTTGGAGTATTCATGCAAAATTGAAATTGATTTAAAATTATTTATACTTCTTAACAATAGATACATAATACAAAACATAAAATACATTCAACCCCAATTAATTGAGTTGAATATCATAAATTTTTAAATGTTTAAATTCATAAATAGTCTAAATACATTCATTTATAGTTAATTAGATTGATGAATAGTTAAGTTGATAAATAATCAAATTCATATAATTTAAATTTGATTCATGTTATTTATATTATTTAATAATAATAGACATAATTGTAGACTCAAAATTTAGTCTACATTCTGCCAAACTAATGATCAAGATAGTTTAGAGCATTGGCATTCGATAAGAGAATAGTGGATAACTGCTTTACAATCTCCATTCTATGTAGGTGCACGTTCGTTTGTGTTTCCATTTTGATGTTGTCCCTTGAGTTTTGATGCTCATTTGAGCTTCTGTCATGTCTGTTGGTTTGGGAGAGAACTGATAGAAGAGGAAGACAAGAGCTTACTAAATGTTTAGTGTTGTTTTCCCAACCGTTGATTGATCAACGATACAAAGAATTATCAAGGGCAAGGCAGCCAAAGTAGCAGAAGGCAGTGATGCAGACAATGTTGTAGAACCAAGGCCATTATCTAAGGAAGCTGTACAAATGCAAATGAAAGACCTGGAATTCCTTAAACAAAACAGGGAGACATAAAAAAGACATGTTAAGCAAAAATGGAATCCTTTTGTTTCTTCACACTGGACGTGGTATAATCAGAAACTGAAGCTAGGAAAATGGCTGGCTCCATGGTTTTCATTCTCAAATGCGTGATGATCTGGAAATCGATTCTTCACTGAAGACATGACCCCATGTTCAAATTGCTCTTCATTGCAGATAAATCACGGTTTTAACCCTGCATTTGGTTTTCCATTGTCTCTGTTTCTGTTCTTATTGTTTCTTGTAGTTTGAAACTCATTTTCTGGTGCAAAGCTTTTAACAAGGGCATCATATATTAATAATTATTACAACTGAAGGGAATATATATTTTAAGTTTTTAACTCAATTTTTTTTTCAAACATATGATGGGCATGGAATGAGAAGGAAGGAAGTTTTGATTCCAAATCAAGATCACAATCAATCAAGGTCAAACTCCACATACATTTTTCTTATCGGCTATCAATCAGGATCAAATTCTTCTAACAAAATAATGGAAAAAAAAATCCAAATCCAAGCCATTACCGATAAATATCATTCATTGCTTCCTACTTCCAAATCCCAAACTTCTTTTTTTGTTTTAACATCTACTTGGTTCTCTGAATAAATTCCATAAAACAAGGGCATTCATTTCTCTCTTATTAATAAACAATTTTACATGAAAAACTATAGCACACTCCAATAAAACAAACAATGAAAACTTGTGTGTTCAACAAATCCAACTGCGCATTTTCAGTTGACAATAACAACAAATTATCTCAATATTAATACTAGCTCAACAAATAAATTTAAATAGATAAAAAAGAAAAAAGAAAAATCTAACCAAATTTAAATGTTTTCATTACTAATTTCAATATATTTACCCAAAATGGCAAAACCCATACAAATTAGCTTGAAGCTAAATAGGCCAATTAGTAATAGTATAAAATAACCATGAAACTCAAATTAACATATTATAATTCATAATTAAAAATTAATAAACAATCAGATAAAGAAACCCAATTAAAAAACTAAATCTACCACCTTATTCCAAAGTAACATGAAACTCAAAAAAGAAATCTCCAAAGTAACATGAAACTCAAACGTGCTGAAACGAGATAGCATCAGTTCTTTAGGATGCGAAGGAAAAAAAGAAGATAAAAAGTGCTAAAACGTGATAGCTTCAGTTCTATAGTATGATCAACTTTTTTCAATAAAACTGAAAAAGAGAGGGGGAAAATGGTAAAAAGAAAGCGTAAAAGCATGACGTATGGATGCTTTCAGGAGAGGTCAAATTTTAGTCAAAATACGTAAAATTAAAAATATGAACACAATAAAAGTTTTCAAGAGAAAAAAAATTCACTTGAAAATCTCATAGTTAAAATAAAATAAGCAAAAAAAATGAAAACGAAAAAAGAAAGTATGGTCTGACCAACCTGATCTTTTATGTTGAGCTTGGTTTCTGGCTGTTTTTCGTTTCAATCTTTACTTCTACTGATTCAACTTCTTTCCTTTTTGTTTTTTCTAGTAGAGTGGTTGAAAATCCAAAATAGGTTAAGATTTTTAGCCTTTTTTGTTTTTCCATTCTAATACCTCACTCTTTTACATTTAAAAAAGCAAAATTGATAAAAGATAAAAAAATGACGTGGAAGAAATAATTAGGGAATAGAATAAGTTGTAGGTAAGAGAATGAAATGAAAGAAAAAAATGAAAAATGAAAGTCTTATATGATTTAAAAGTGTAATCGATTGAATTTAAATTGATATAATATTATATTTGAGTTTAAATTTTGTTTAAAATTTAAATTTTAAAATTTAATTTAAATTTAAATAATTTCTTTTAATTTAATTTTTATTCAAAATAAAAATTAAATTATTTAAATTTATTCGATTAAATTTGATTAATATATAAAAATAAATTTAATTTTTATATTTGATAAAAATTTGATTATTTATATTCAAATTCGAACTTAAATTTAAAATATTTTATTAATAAAAATATATTAAAAATAAAAATTTGATTAAATTTATAAATTATTCAAATCATATATAAAAAAATTCAAATTAAATTTTATTAATAAATTAAATTATTTAAATTTTATTTAAATTAAATATAAATAATTTATAAATATTAATATATTATTTACCCTCTTAATCCCACCGACTTTTATGCCATTTTAAAAAGCAAAATTGATTGAAAAATGACGTAAATGAAACGATAAGGGAATGGAATAGGTGCCGAGTAAAAGGAAGAAATGAAAGAAACAAGACGAGACATGGCAGTTCTCTCTCATCCATCCCTCTGCCATCTTTTTTATTATAAAAAAATTGTTGAGAATTGTCGTGTAAAAGGCCCAAAAAAAAAAAAAATGTTGTGTGAAGACAAAAGAGATGGGAGACATCAGAGGTTTAATAAGGGGCTTACTTTAGAAAGAGTCCAAGCTTAGTCAAAATTAATCAAATTTATCTTATGGATTAATAACCTTATCTCCGTGACCAAACAGTAAAAATTCTATCCCGCTTTTTTATATTTCCTTTCCTCTTTTTGTCTGCGACTGCAGCCAAAGCGAAGCGAGTTACTAAACTCAGTGTCTCAGGCCACAGTGTTACCGGCTGCGATTTTGAAACCATGGAATCGTTCCCGAGTCTAACCGTGAGTCAGCGCGATCAATTATCGGTTGAGCAACAAGTCTTCAACATATACAAATCCTTCTACAACATGCCTCCCAGCTCCCAATCCTTCATGTAAATCCATAAAACCCTAAAAATTTTAATCAAATTTTCTCTTATCTTGAATTTCTGTTCTTTTTCGATAGGTTGGAGCTTCAACGGGAAAATCACGTGGAGTTCTTAACGAAAGGATTGAAACAGCTCGGTCCTTCTTTCTGCGTATTAGATGCTAAGTTAGTATATATTTTTTACCTAATTTGTTAATTAGTACCTTAATTAATTAAAATTAGAGGAAAATTAAAAAAATTGATTGTTTAATTTGCAGTCGGCCTTGGATTTGTTATTGGATTCTTCATTCAATTGCTCTAATGGACGAGTTTTTAGATCCTGAATTGGAAGATAATACTATTGATTTTCTTAGTCGTTGTCAGGTAGAAAAATTTATGATTTATTTTTCTAAATTTATATATTATTTTGAATCCATGGTTTTATGAATTCTTATTTTTGAATATGATTAGTGTTGAATTGGAATGGTATTTGGACATCATTTTATGTGAAATAATCTCTTTAGCATTTTTTTTTTTTTTGGAATTTGGTTTTAAGAGTGATTGTCGTTACCTGAGTTTATTCAGCCTATGATCTTAAATAAGGCACAATGGTTTAATGTAATTGACATAACGGACCCCACTTAATTGGAAAATGCTTGTGATGTTGTTGTTATTATTTTGAAGATTGAAACTAGCATTGCAAGAGTGTAGATGGTTGCATTTATTATGGTTATGGTTATATTCAATTCATTTCTATTCCAATATGTTACTACATAGTACTTTTCTCGGTTAGGTGTATGCTTGGTTTTATATGGGGATAAGAGTGCATTATTTGCAGAAAGTGTGTGCTTATGCAAATGGATTGGCACTTGTGCTTGTGATCAACTCCATTTTTTACCAGTTTAGAGCTTGGTGCTTACTAGTTAATTGAACTATATGATTACAAGTTTGTTTTCTTTGGTGTCCATCTTTTTATTTTTTGAATGGTTATCTGATATTTCTTTTTATTTGTTTATGTATTCTTATCCCTGACAGGATCCTAATGGTGGGTATGGTGGTGGACCTGGACAGGCAAGTAAATTGTGGATATGATCATTGTTAAACTTTAACCATCTTCCTTTATGCTAACAGTAAGACGTTGAGGTGGCCAATTTTTAATTGATTCTTATTTATATGAACAATTGTATTTTCTATTGCCAGGGTTTCTTTCTTTTACTGTCTTCGAAGTTATACTGCATTTTATGTGTACATGAGAGAACTAAATGACATTATAATTTCTTTTTCCAGATGCCTCATCTTGCAACAACATATGCTGCAGTCAATTCACTTGTTACTTTGGGTGGTGACCAAGCTTTGTCATCAATTAATAGGTGGTCAGATTATGCAACAATAGAATTTGAAGTTTTTCTTGAAAGTGATTTAACGGAAATTTGTAATTTCCTTCAGAGAAAAACTGTACACGTTTTTGCGGCAAATGAAAGACCCTAGCGGGGGTTTCAGGTGTGACATGTTTCTTCATCTTTTTTAAGATAGAAGCCTCCTTCCAATAGATATCATGGAATTTACTTCTTGTCTTTCAAGTTGCTCTGCAAAAGAATAACTTTGTATTTGGAGATTAATGTTATTTAGTTGAATCAATCTACATTCAATATGTGGCATTGCAATGCTTGCTATGAGGAAAATTTGACTTGTTCATATCTTTTTCCTTGAAAACAAGTGTTTAGATTGTAATTTAAAGTGTTCTTATTGAGTTTTTTTCACAGAATGCATGATGGTGGAGAAATTGATGTTCGGGCATGTTATACTGCCATCTCTGTAAGTGAGCAGTCATGCTGAAAATTTAATATTATTACTGTTTTGATTGGCAAGCTTAACCATTATCATAGATCTATTGCTTCTTTTCGGTTGCATATATTTTTCATCAGTTATCATTTTTAACTTATAGACCACTTTTTCAAGCTTATTCTATCTTTGCAATAATCCAGCCATCTTTTTTTGATCAGGTTGCAAGTCTCCTGAATATTTTGGATGATAATCTTGTTCAAAATGTTGGAAATTACATCTTAAGGTCAGTATCTAGCTTTCACTTTGCTTTGAGCTTGTCATTTAAGGCAGCTAATTTGTCTTCCCCGACCCCCCCTTTATCTGCTATTTGTTTTAGGTTTAATTAGTTTCCATATCCTTTTTCTTTGTTTTATTGCTGCTAGAAAGCTTATTTATACTGTGTGGCATGTTTAAAAATTGTTAAAAGCCTATGTGCTTCAAAGTTGGAACCTCTACTCATATTCCTCTTTCTCCAATAGCACTGCTTTATCTGAACATATTAGGAAGGGATCAGTGAGTTGGGGGCTCAAAATTTTAATAATGCAAAGAGAGTCCAGAACATGGGGGCTTTTATATTGTAGTCTTCAGTTTGTGTTGTTTTAAAATTGTGGTAAATTTGGATGCTTCTTGGGACTGAGTGATATGCTTTGTTTCCGTATGAATACACTGTTATAACCAAGAAAAGCTCTTATTGTTGTCAACAACCATGTGGTCTGTTAGTAGAGTGCTAGACTCTTAGTTTCAGTGACCAAGGTTCAATCCCTAACAGCCTTAAATACCAAAAAACAAAGCTCTTAGTGTCCCTATTAGTACATTGTTGTGGCTTTGCTTCAATGGTATCAATGGACTTGATCTTTTGCATATATATTAAAATAGTAGCACGGAATGCACGGGTTGAATGGGTTGAATGCATGGGTTACCTGAGCTATGTGTTGATTCCTATTGTGTCGTCCATGTGACTGAAATAGTTTGTTGCATCTTTTTGAAGTTGTCAGACTTACGAAGGTGGCATTGCTGGGGAACCTGGTTCTGAAGCTCATGGGGGGTATGTTAAGCTCATCTTTGCATGTGGTTTACCTGTTTTCTTAAATTATAAATTTAATAATTATCCTTGAAATTTGATTCATTGTTTACTTCCTCATGTATGCTATTATATATATATGCACATGTTGCTTGTGAAATTGCCAGCAGAGTTTCCCCGTATGAGAAAGCCTCCTACAGTTCTGTTAATTTGTTTGTCAGGTACACCTTCTGTGGGTTGGCTGCAATGATTCTGATCAATGAGGTTGATCGTCTGGACTTATCTAGCTTAATTGTAAGACCATGTCATTGCTCTTCATTAATTTTATTATCTTTCTTCATGCAAACTATGATAGCATTCTCTTGTGATTATATTAATAAGCATGTATTCTGAGTTATCCTTTAGGATTGGGTAGTTTTCCGACAAGGAGTGGAGGGTGGATTTCAGGGGAGAACTAATAAACTCGTCGATGGTTGTTACTCCTTCTGGCAGGTAATTTTCTACTAATCTCATTCTTGTTTCTAATGAGCTGAAATGAAATATAACCAAGGAAAGTGACCAGGGAGGTGTATTTGCATTATTGAAAAGATTACATGCAACAAAAGGGGAACAACCTGTGCTATTGGGTGATGAAGAAGATAATGGTGCACAAAGTCCGCAAACTGATGGAGAAGTTAGTGGTGCAGAAAGTCTGCAAACTGTTGCTGCATTGGATGTAGCAGGAGGAGAAGGTTTAAATGAGAAATTATCACAGGGTGGCAGCCATTCTGCTTCAGTAGTCTGTGGTCTGGTCTCCCTTTCCTAATTTTGTTGTTTTCCTTATAATTCATGAGAGCTGTTAATTTAGGTTTTTTTTCTTCTTGCAGATCAACATGATACTTCCTGTCGAGTTAATGTTGACAATATTGATAATAGTTCTAGCATGAGGCAAGCAAAAATGAAACCTCTTTTCAACAGCTTGGCCTTGCAGCAATATATTCTTTTATGCTCACAGGTACTAGTATTAGGGTTGCTAATTGGTTGAAAAATTATCTCCACTTTCTAAAAAATGAAACAACTTAGTTCTCACATTTGTTGCTCGAACGGGTTTGGATTGTAACTCGTTTTTGTGACTGTAGGAGCTTGATGGTGGACTCAGAGACAAACCGGGCAAGTCTAGAGACCATTATCACACGTGTTACTGTCTAAGCGGCCTTTCAGTTTGTCAACATAGCTGGTCGGAAGATGAGGATTCTCCACCCTTGCCCAGTGCCGTATTAGGCCCTTACTCCAATCTTCTGGAACCCATCCATCCCCTCTATAACGTTGTATTAGATAGGTACCAGGAAGCACACGAGTTCTTTACAAGGTCCTAATCACATCTTCCCCCCTTCTGAAGAATTGTGGCTTTGGAATGTTCCTAACCGATGATAACTTATGAAGGCGAGATATATGCTGGTTTTGATGCTGTATATTACTGATATAAGTTTGTATGAACGTAAAGCTTGGTTGTCGGCTTTAAGTAAAAGATAGCTGGGCTGTTACTCATTTCATTCACTTTGTAACATCCAAAATTCAAAGTTTGTTATCAATATTTTAGTTTGGAGACCTGGAAGCTGGAAGAACTGAGTTTCATTCGGAGTCAACACGAATTCTTTTGTCAGCCTGCAAACTAACGGATGGATGGTTCAAGTGATAAAAAAGAATATATTACTTTCTTTGTTATTTGGATTCAAATTCATTGAAAATTTGAGAGAGGGTAAATTTTTATAAATTCATTAGATCTTAAAGCAAATAAATTTGGTTGAACTGATTCAGAAAAAAAAAAAAAGAATTAGTGAAGAATGAATTGGGTGAAGTGCAAAAATCCCTTACCAGCGAGGGACCGTTTGGTTGAGAAGAATTTATGTATTTTTATAAAATTTTATTATTAAATATTTGATTTTAATGTTTGATTTAAGATAATTTAATTTTGAAAAAAAAATAATATTTTAATAATATTTAAAATCTTAAAATCAAAAATTTATTTCTTTACGTAATATTTTTAAATTTTAAGATAAAATTACGTTATTTTTTAATTTAATTTGAATTTGATCTACTAAAAAAAGGTTTATATTTAAATTTTATATGATATAAGTAAATCAATATTTAATAATAAATAAATTTTAAAACGTTAAGAGGTAAATATATTTCATTTAAAAACATATTTAAAATTATTTTTTTATGAAGCGTATAGTTATTGACAGCGCTTAAATATAAATCTTTAATAAAAACGTGTTTCTTGTCGATAAAAGGCTTGTTAAATACTTGAATCTTGAATTATACAATGAGTTTTTTTTTTAATAAATAATTTCATAAAATTTTGTAGTATTATCATTTCTTTGCAAATAGAAAAAAAAAAAAAAGTGAAAGTACTTTTTGAGATCTGTAAGTAACGTGTTGGCCAGCCTCGGTGAAGTCCGAGTCTTCTTGTCTTCTTCAGTTCCGGTACCCCCTTCTTTAATAGTTAATAGCCCAGACCCTGAGACCTCAAAGGGAAGTTCACTGTCAATAACCGGAAAACTCAACCAATCCACCTTATTCAATAATGGAGAATGAGAAACAACAACAGCAAACAGAAGATAAACAACAAAATCATCAAGAAGAAGATAAACAACAACAGCAAGATCAACAGAATCATCAAGAAGAGAAACAGCAACAAGAAGAGCAACAAGAACAAGAGAAACATGATGAAGAAGCAGAAAATAAGCACAACCACACAGCATCACGATTTCCATTAAGCAAGAGGTCAACACCACCAAAGACTATTCCAAAAGCTCAATTACCACCATCTGATCATTCTCCTGTTGATTCTCCTCTTTCATCTGATCATTCTTCTCTCAGTCACGGCTTCTCTCCACCACCACTAGCATCTCAACCTTCTGACCCTAACTCTCTTGAAGAAGAAGCAGAAAATAAGCACAATCACACAGTATCACGATTTCCATTAAGCAAGAGGTCAACACCACCAAAGACTATTCCAAAAGCTCAATCACCACCATCTGATCATTCTCCTGTTGATTCTCCTCTTTCATCTGATCATTTTTCTCTCAGCCACGGCTTCTCTCCACCACCACTAGCATCTCAACCTTCTGACCCTAACTCTAAGCCACCAGCTCTGGCAGTTTCCAAGGCGGAGTTCAATCAGTCAACTGCTACTACTGTTGAAGTTGAAGAGCAGAGTCAAAAACTCGGTTCTGGTAGTGGTAAAAGATTGAGGCCTGATTTGTCCATATTAAGAAGAACCAAAAGAGATAAGATGGTGAAAAAGGCTTCGTTGTGGTCTAGGATTTCTGGGTTTGTTTTTTGTTTGGTTTCTTTCTCTGTTTTAGCTGCTGATAGAGATCAAGGTTGGGCTCTTGATTCTTTCTACCGTTACAAGGAGTTCAGGTTGGTGGCTTTTTCTATTTTCTAAAATAATCCGTTAATACTCTGCAAAAAGATGTTTTCCTGCCTTCTAGTTGTTTATATGTTCAGCCACTGCCTTAATGATGTTTATTGTTTCAACTGTTCATATCGAATCTGTTGTTCCATGTTTCATTTTATTGGGTTTTGTGTATTGTTTGATCATGGTGTTCACTGATTGCAGATTCTGTATGGCAGTGAATGTGATAGGATTTGTATACTCAGGGATTCAGGCATATGATCTAGCTTACCAATTGACCTTTGGAAAACAGAAACCCCGGAGTCGCCTCCGGTGTTACTTAGATTTCGTTTTGGATCAGGTAATTCTTCTTTAGACTAAAGGCCCTTACTTTTTGGTTTTTAACCAAAGTTTAATTACTCACCTAATTCTGGAATGGCTGTGATGAGGCAATTTAGGGGGCCACTGCCTATAAAGTTGGGTGCAGGACTCCAATGGCCGGTGTATAGTAATCACTAGTTCTTGCAAGAACCAGAAACACTACTGATGTGTGCCTGTGTATGAATCTTTTTATGGCTCTGCCTAGGTTTTGTTTCACCAAGAAGTGCTTAGGCTAGAATTTTTTTTTGGGGACCAGTTAGTTGTGGGAAGACTTTTTTGATGACCTTTTTAAAGCCTTTTTTCTGTGTGATAATGCTGCCTTCACTCACTTTCTCAACTTGTTTCCTGTATAGTATTTGTGGCTACTGTCCTGGAGAAAAGTTGGTACCTTTTCAAAATGGAGAATTTGGGGTAACTTTTGTAGTGTCAAATCGCTTAATTTGCAAGCAATACTTATAAAATCTATAGAGGACATGTAAAAGTGACAATTAACATCATCTCCCACAAAGCCTGTTATACATTTGAGATGAGCAGATAAAAGATACTTTTCGGGTGGCATTGGATACACTAACAAAAAGGAATCAAGCTGCGTTTCTGCCTTTTGTTCTATCATGATAAAATACCAGGCACAAGACAGACAAGATGCTTTCTATGGTTTTTCTCCTTTTAGTTTCTTTTCCAGTTTATCGTTTCTCAACTACCCATTATCTGTAGTGGCTAAGATATCAAAATTCTTTAGCTACCTGTTTGTGTCGAGTTCCAAGCAGAAGGGTGAATTCCTGAAATCATGGGGAAGAGAAGAGAGTGGTTAAAAGCAAAAATAGGGGGTGTTTTCTACGTTTGCATTTCAACGCTCAAATTAAAGATCGATACAAAGGAGATTGAAAGGAAAGAAAAGTAAGAAAGTATTAGTAGAATGGACATGTATTGATATACTTAGGTGTTTTTATTTATAGGCGGAAAGTGAGAGGGTCTACGGGGCATAAAGATGATGTGGCCGAATTGACTGTGGCACTGAATATGTCTGGTCAATCCAAAAATCTAAAATGCCTCTAACTGTCTGCTGACAGTCCCTAACGAGAAAAATGAACAGCATGTCCTTTAGACCTAAAAATATCCCTAAGGCCCTAACACTACCAAAGTTTTGTGCTGTTGAGGCTCTAAGGACTTGGCCTGAAACTTTCCTCAGATAGAGAGGTGAAGTAGATAATAATACATGGGGTCAAACCCTTTTTTTTCTTCATATGGACATGATTAATATATCTGTGTGCTGAAGCACTTAAAAGGTGAAAAGCTGAACTATTTGTTTGATTTGGCAGATGCTGGCTTATCTTCTCATATCAGCATCATCTTCAGCTGCTGTCCGAGTTGATGACTGGCAATCGAACTGGGGAAAAGACAAGTTCCTGGAGATGGCAAGGGCCTCTATGGCATTGTCGCTGGTAGCATTTATTGCATTGGCCTTAAGCTCACTTATATCTGGTTATACCCTTTGTACTTTCAAATCTATGTAACCGACAATACTTCTGCTATCTACATGTTAGTTTAAAAAGAACAATCTGTGCCGGAACCAGGTGGTAGGGCCATTAAATTGTGTATACAGAAGTTTACCCTTGTTTCTCTTGGAATATGCGTAAAGCAAAGATGTTGAATGATTCCAGTTTGGTCAGCAGATCTTTGTGAATTTAGGTACAGAGTAAATATTTTGCCGTCATAAATGCAATTGGGTGGCTGTTGGAGGAACTGCCATTTTTTTTAAACACAAATTACTAATTTTTCCAGCAATAATCTTACTTAAGTGGTAAGATAGCCAAGTAGATTTGGCATTAATGATTTGAGGTATTTAAAACTTGATTTCTGCTTCCTTCAATGAATCAAAGATGGTGGAATTGTATAACCTAGGGGTCGGCTCAAGGTGATAGAGTGGCCGGGTCCTAATACCCAGATTAGGCCCACTTTCGTTGCTTATAAGGTGGGCTAAGGCTCAATTGACCATAGAGGAGGGCCAGGCTGAATTGACCTGATTACTGTCTGTTTGGTTTTGGCCACTTAATTATTACTTTCACAGGGGGGCAAAAAAATCTGATTGCTTTACCAACTTTTGTCACTGGTTTAAGGCGCTTGAATTCTGCGGGCCTATATGATATCCTTGTTGGAGATAAAGTGATTTTATCATGACATTCTTCCACTATTTTTGTCCTTAAAAAAGCACAAATGATATCATATGATTCTACCAAATTGACAAATTGTTCAAATTCATCAAAAACAAATAAAAAGTGTCAGTTTTTTGTTCTAAATCAGATAATCAGGTTTCACCTAATGAACTATTTGGTGAAGGTTATTGCTCATATACACTGGTGACAAAGGAACTACTACCATTTTCTACCAATAGGCAATAAAGCCTTGACAGGTCTCATCTACATGAATTACCCCCAGCGTGTCTAATGGCAAGACACAACTACAAGTCTACAATATTACAATATCAACTGAAGGGTTTTAGTTGGTAAAGATGGAAAGGTTTAACTTCACGGGATTAAAAGTCTTTAACACTATTATGAATCCATTTAATGATTAAAATATATGCAATGTTATAGTACTCGTATTAATCTAGATGTATTTGGAAGTTGGAATTTGCTTGGAGGCCTAGGTTGTTCTTCAACAACTTGGACTGCAATTAGTCCTTATAATGGGGCCTACTAACTGAACTTGGATAGAAATCAGTACCTATGCATTTCCATTTTAATGGATAAATGGAACTGACTTTTTTTGGCCAACGAAGAAAAAAAAAACGGAGGATATTCTTCTCATAGGAAAATGTCATAGCTAAGGCATAACTTTTGCAACTTTCATCTACTCTTGATTTGAATTAAAAAAATTCTTTTACTTCAAATAGTAGAGTTTTAATTAATTTTTAACTTTTTTTTATGTATAAGTATACAAATGAGGAGAGATAGCATTGCCAATACCAGAGACATTTTAGCTATCGACTATAACCTGTCTCATATATTGTTGGCTGGTTGCTCGAGAGTCAGATATTTGAAGTGAGCAAAAAAGGCTACTAGCATTAATCTAACTAGTAACTGTATTTCCTAGTTGATCAAAGAGAGCTTGTTTTCATTTCTCATGGCTTCAAGTACTGCAACTCTTCCATCTAAAATGAAAGCCTGGACTTATTCTGAATATGGAAAATCATCTGATGTTCTGAAACTAGACTCAGACGTTGTTGTACCCCAACTGAATGATGACCAGGTTCTGGTCAAAGTTGTAGCAGCTGGGATTAATCCAGTTGATTTCAAGAGAATGCTCGGCATGTTCAAAGAATTTGATTCTCCTTTACCTGTAAGTCTCTTTCTTTTCCAATCTTTTTTTTCTTTTGTTTTAATTTGCTTTTGCTTCTGTGGTTTCATGCTAGGGGAAGAAGAATATGGTTTACTAAAACTAAGGTTTAATAAATAATCATGCTAATGTTTTATGAAGTGATCTCCTTCAAAAATAAGAAAACAAAAAAAAAAAAGAGCTTCAAAAATATGTTGCAAATCTTGTTGTATTGTTATTCTCATCTGGAGAGTTAAAAATTTCTATGTTCTTCTTCCTAAAACTTCTTTTGTTTTGTTCTTGATTTTGTCAGATTATTCCAGGTTTTGATGTTGCTGGTGTGGTGGTGAAAGTGGGAAGCCAAGTAAAGAAGTTCAAGGAAGGTGATGAAGTATATGGGGACATTATTGAGAAGGCCATGGATCAACCAAAACAATTTGGAACCATAGCTGAATACACTGCTGTTGAGGAGAAGCTGTTGGCTTTCAAACCGAAAAATCTGAGCTTTGTTGAAGCTGCAGGACTGCCCTTAGCCATTGAGACTGCCTATGGAGGCCTTGAACGATGCGAGTTTTCTGCTGGCAAATCTATCCTTGTCCTGGGAGGTGCTGGTGGGGTTGGCACCATGATTATTCAGGTGTACTTACTATTTGGTTGAACTTCTCTGTCTAGGCTGTTTTGCCTGCTGATTCTTTGAGACAAATTATTGCCTGCTCTATTGCTTATCAGGAACTTGGATTTTTCATTGTATCTCTATTAATGTTTATTTCTCCTGGATCAGCTAGCAAAACATGTCTACGGGGCATCCAAAATAGCAGCTACCTCAAGTACAGGAAAACTGGATTTGCTGAAGAGCTTGGGTGCTGATTTGCCTATTGATTACACAAAGGAAAACTTCGAATATCTGCCAGAGAAATTCGATGTCGTATATGATACAGTTGGTAAGATTCTAAAACCATAGTTGAATTTCTTTCTATGTATGTAAGTAACAATGTGCATGGGTATAAACAGGACAATGTGATAAGGCAGTGAAGGCAGTGAAAGAAGGTGGGCGTGTTGTCACAATAATTGGAGCTGTGATTCCACCAGCTTTTATATACATTATCACATCAAATGGGGCTGTTTTGGAGAAACTGAATCCATTCTTGGAGAGTGGGAAGGTTAAGCCAATAATTGATCCGAAAGGCTTATTTTCGTTTTCTCAAACCCGGGAAGCCTTTGCATATCTTGAAACTGGCAGAGTTACTGGAAAAGTAGTCATTTCTATAATCCCATGAGATAATAAATCAATGTATTATCTTTAGTCTCCCTGTCTTATTTCCTGTTTGTGGTGTTGTGGGTTATGATATTGTATTGTATAAGAGTCTGTTAAGAGGTTGTGTTGTTGGATGATAAGAAAAAAAATTTTAGTTTTTATGTGAGATATTATCAGATTGAAATGTTTAAAACAATATCTATTTATTTGTTACGAATTAACAAGAATTTTGTGATTGTTGTTAAGCTTGTTAAGATTTCATAATAACATCTATTAGGGGTTTCTTTGGGTCTAGAAAGTAAATTAGTCCATTTCCTCACTAGAGATTGTGGGGCATTTTCGATTTTTGGGCCGACTTGATTTGTACATTATCACTTGGTTACAACACTACTAAACAACCTCATAGATCTTTCATTTTTCACCTATAAATAGTCATTTGATATTGTTAAAAATTTTTAAAATAAAATATGTGAAATAATTCAATATTGAAAAAGGAAATGATGAGATAGTTATTTAAATTAAAAAGAGTAAAAGTTTATTATCGTTAGACTAAAGTGGCTAATGGATCATGGGTTTGGTATTTCAAGTTCGGTTGGTCTTGCATTAATTAAATAATTAACATATATAAATATTTAATTAATGACACTTGGCACTTATGGTAAGTGTAGTGTCATAAATAAAATATTATTTTATTTAAAGTTTATAAAATTTTATTTTATTTAAAGCTGATAAGTGTTTGATTGATTAAAGTTTGTCTAACACAAATAAAAAAATAAAAACAGACAGTTAAGTCTATACAAAATAGACAAATAAGTTTGTTAAAAAAATAAACGATTTTAATTGTTCAAAAACAAATAGTTTCAGTCTATTCAAAATAGATAGTTATGTCTATAAGAGAAAGAGACACTTATCTATTTATAAAAGCTATTCTAGTTTTCTGAAAATATACACAAAAGCAATTCTCAGAGCTTCTCTTTTTTTTTTCAAACTCTAGATTTATTTTATAAAAGTTTTTATGTAGAAAATCTTTATAAAAATTCAATGATCTTATGATATGTCAGTGAATGCTCAGTAGCTAATTTCATCAATGCAAAACATGGTCAGTCACTGGATTTCATTGTATCCTTAAGATTTATTGCCTGTAACTTTTTTATATACTTATTAAGTAAATAATAAAGTGGGAGCAAATAAAACCTTAAGGAAAGTGGCACTGTTACATGCCTTGATTTTTAGTGTTTGTACTAACAATTTTATGGTTTTCAGAAGCAGTAATTTCAGTTTTTTAGTGTTTGCACTAACAATATTAAAATTTTATTCAGTTCAACAATGGCTATTGAAGCAACGCTCAGGGAATTAGCTTTTAGTTTTGTCAAATTAGATTGTTTTGATGGTGGCAATTCTTGAAAATGACAAAAGAATATGCATTTTCTACTTTCAACCTTGAAAGTTGTATATGTTCTAACTATTCCCAGGCTAGAAGAAAATGAAATAGAATAATCGGTTGTTGCAATAAGAGAGAGATAAAAATAGGATAATATAGACTATATGTATAAAGGTCATATTCTAAATGGTTTGTTTGACAACCTATTTGATACCTACCAAAATGAGACTACTGCAAAGGAGTTATAGGATACATTAGAGATCATGTATATGACTGAGGATGCAACAAGTAAGAAATTTCTTGTTAGTCATTTCAATAATTATCATAGAAATTTCTTGTTAGTCATTTCAATAATTATCATATGATTAATGGACATTCTGTGATTTAATAACTACATGAAATTAAAAGAATGCTTAATAAATTTAAATAGTATAATATGAGCATATATGAAACAATTATTGTATCCTTTGTAATAGACAAACTTCTTCCATCATGAAAGAACTTTAAAAGAAATCTAAAATATATATATAAAAAAAGAGAAAATCACGCTTGAGGCTTTGGTTAATCATTTTCAAATTAAAGAGAAATACATAAAGCAAGAATAGAATTCTAGTTCTAGTGATGCCAAAGTTTATGTTTTGAAGGAAAGGCAGGCCACAAAACTTACCAAAAAGAAGTTCAAGTTCAAACAGATTGCTAATGGG